TGGGTTTTTTGGTGTCAGCAAGAGGAGAAGGATGATCAGGTTACAGGTATTACCTGTGCAACTCTCTCTCTGCTGGCTGAGCCACAGTCACTCGCTGCAAGAACCCACCACCAATGCTGGGATCTCCTGTGCCCCGTGGGATGCTGAAGAAGTCTAAGGAAGATGGAACAAGATTATGAGGTGCAATGTGCAGGTGAAGTGATGGGACAGGGACTGGATTGTGTTGAGAAGGTGCAGTAGGAGAACAGGGAAGAAGTGGGCAATGGGCCCCGGCTTTTTGCTCACTTAAGGTCCAGCATGAGGGTGAGAGCTGCTGCTGTGGTGGAGGGTCCTGGTAGCACTTGCCAAACAAAGTTACAAAATCCTAAACTGATTACACCTGAGCTTTTGTCACTTGCAAGCAAGGTCATCAAATTTTCGTGCCCACCTGGCAAAGCAAGTGCCCTTTGCATCATCAACACCATCCACCAGATAATGTCGTACCTGACCTTTAACAAATTCTTGAGCTTGCACTCCCCAGCACTAGGTATTTTAATAAGCTGGTTTGGCCGCATGTCAGCTGATTAATTTAACAAAAGTTAATTAAGCAGCTATCATATTGATGAGTGTGTTAGAAGAACATACATGTTGGGGAAAGTGTGTGACTGGATTGTACATCAACTTTGTTCTTCTGTTGTTTGCTGGTTAAAACAAATGTTTGGCCCTTGATGGCTGCCTTTCTGTTACCATTTTCCTGGTGGTTTTCTTTTTTCTTTGATGTCTCTCTTTTCCTGTGCTTAAAATAGTTGCATGGGTGGTTTGGATGGTTGGTTGAAAGCCTTTGACATCAATACTGTATTCTTGCTGTCTTCACTAAGTAATGACAGTCAGCCAAAGTGCGTGCTTTTCATGTGTCCAGATGTCTTGCGTCTATGTTTTGCAAAAATGCCTAGCTGTATTTGGAATTTTCTTATTATTTCTGTAACTCTTGCTCTACATGTTAAAATTATGGATGTCTTTTCATTGTACCCTAAGGCCTTTGACTCAGTTTTTTGGAGGATTTCCCACTTTGTGTTGGTTCAGTCACCTCGTAGATAATGGTGCCAAAATTTATAGAAGTTAGCAGATTTGGTGAGGGAACATCTTGTGACCCAAGGCATAAGCTTTGCTTATTATTTATGCTGATTGGCGATTTGAGAGCAGGAGGCCAAAGTATTTGTGGGGGAGATAAAAGCTGTCTCCTGCAGTTCTGGCTGCCCTCTCTTGGTATAACCATAGCTGAGCACCAGGTGCTGCAGCCCCGCGTGGTGCTGGCCGCCTCCCTCCGTGGCCTGCCGGTCTCAGGCCAGCTAAAAGGAGAAGCTTGGAAGTCAGAGGCTGTGTCCTTACCTGACACTGGGACTCAAACGGGGATGGGAACAAAATCCAGGCTGCTGACAACACGTTTAGTGTTCTAGGTGTCCTTTTTTTCTATCATGTGTTTCAGATGTATAGTGGTAGGAGCGTTTAAAGTACATAAAATAGAGGATGGCATTTGTCCCTCCCTACTAAACGTCATCAGTGCCTTTGCCTTGTCAGAATGCTGAATGTAATTCAAACCCCAAAGTCCAGGAAAGGATGAGGTAAGGGCCAGCAAAAACCTTGATATGACCTTAATTCTGCCCAAGGAATTGATTATACCTGTTGGAACAGTTCAGTAACAGGAGTACTATTAAAAGCAGGTATGAAGAACTGAGAAAATACATAATTCATTTGCATTTTCAGCTTCTGTTGTATATGCTCCAGCTTCAGGTAGCCGGGCTAATGGCAAACAAGGTTTTCTACTCGCGTGCGTTGCCGGTGATGTGATGTTATGAGACGTGACAGGCGGTAGCCTGTGGGCGCAATGAGATGTCACGGAGTGAAGGAATCTGTTGATCAAAGGTGGAGGGTTTGTAACATTTAGCGGGTCTGAGAACATTTTAAAATGTACAGCAGGAACATTTGCTGTAGCTTTTGTTTGCTTTAGATGACTAACTCAGAGTTGGATGTGGCCCATGGTGGCTGTGCTTCCTTCCTAGGAGTGTTGTAGTGCTTGTAATGTGGAAATACGATGTTCTTAAAAAAGGTTTCAGCTGCACTTTGGTGCTTATATTACCTTAACCTCTTACTTCCAATTTAAGTTGTGAGGATTTTGCTACCCTTCACGTTTCTGAAGGATGTTTCTCTGCTTGTAAGGTCTTGTTTCTTTGTTCCATTAATTACATTTAATAAATACTTTTTCATTATTGTCACGCAACACACTTTCTCCTTTTTTTAGGGCAGGGAAGGCATGTGTCCAGGAACCTAGTGATATGACCTTCCCCTAGGATACAGGAGACCCAGATTTTCATTCTCTTGACCTGGAAGATGAGAACAGGCATACAGAGTCAAATCAGGGTTCATTTTGTATTCATCTACTATTCTGTTTGAGGCAGGGCCAGTGCTAGATGAGCAAGGTGTAAACAGGTCAGGAATAGAATGGCACTTCTGTCTTCTCAGCTTTTTGATGTCTGCCTCTTTGTGTTTAGTAATGCCTGATGTGCTTTCCTTACATAAATTCATCTAATGGGAGATCAGATCTGTCTTGTCTCAGAGGGTAGACTCAATTCCTTTCATAAAATAAAAAGGGAAATGTTTATGCGAGGCTGCAGCTGGTGATGTTCAGAGGCTGATCCGAGGGTAGCTCGGCAGCGGCACATGCCTCTTCAGATCTGAGCTTGGGTCTCCACTGCTTCCTTGGGCACGGGGACTCAAAGTGAGTGGAATACCTAACAGAGAGTGTGATGGGTGGTTGAGGATTCGTAGTTGAAAAGACTAAAATAACGTAGAAAAAGCCACAGACCTTCCTTAAGCCTGAAGGCAGTCCAAGACTACCTTCACACCTTCTACCAACCACCACTTATCTCAGTAGTTTCTGTGGAGCTTGTTCAAAAGAGCATCAAAGGGAGAGGCAAATCCCAATGAGATCCTGGAAGTTGCAGCCTCACAGTCTCTCTATGGATTGAGCTGTCAATCATTTATTTTCCTTTCATCATGTTTGATTCCATTTTCTCAGAGGGAGGTGAAGACTGTGCAGGGTAACAGAGCCTTTCCCACATACTAAATGTTTTCAGCTTTTTTTCTTGTTGGTGCTCATGGATCAGCTGTGCTTTTAATGTAAGATGTGACTTCCCATGGAAGTGTCAGAGTGCAATGCCCCACCTTCCCAGATCAGTCCGCATGCTGCCCCACGGGCTGTTCACTGCCGTGCTCGTCCTTAAGCCCTGAACCCAGGTGCCTGGGACAGTCTCAGATTCAACAAACACAACGTTGTCTTACTGACCTACAGGGGCTGTCTTACGAGGCCGCCTACGGGTTGTCTGGCATCAGATGCCTCACTGCCTATGACCCCATCTTTTTTTAATGCTTCACATGGCTCAGCACTGCTAGAATTAAACCCTTAATAATGTTTTCAGTATTGCTTTCCCAGTGGGACACTGGGTGTCAGCAAATTGCAAAGTAAGCTGAGCCAGTGCAGGAGCTTGGGAATGCTTGCAGAATCTTCCTTGTGGAGAGGACAGGCCTGAGCTCTCTGGGATTTGCTGGGTTTGGGAAGCACTTGCTAATGCTAGCTAAAAGCCCTTCCTCCCCTGCAATACTCTGCTCCCTTCCTTTCGCACACAGCCTTCCTCCGCTATCTCTACAGAAAGGCTTTCGTGCAATCTGGCTCGTCAGCTGTTGCCTTTGTGCATTGTGTTGGGGCTGGGATAAAGCGTAAGCTCTTCAGCCCCGGTGCTTTATAGCGTGGCATGAATGCTGGTGGTGCCCTGGCTAAGAAAAAAGCAACCAAGCAAACAACTTGCAATTAATAGTAACTAAGCAGATCTGGGAACTGTGGGTTACTGGAAGTAGTTGCATTTTTAAGGTCTTTTTCTTTCCCCTTTTAAAGCTGTTCACCTTGGTATTTGCATTACGGAAGACTGCATTGTTAGGAAGCAGACTTGTGTGTAGATCTTAGTATTACATGATTTACCTTAAGAAAGCCCATTAGTGGCTGAAGTAGAAGCTAATCTACTTCACAAGTATAATTCACATCGTTGTCTTACAACAAGCAGCAAGCTACCACACTGGAGAACATCATCTTAAGAAAGAGCAAGTACCGGTTTGCTTCTATTCATCTTTTCTACACGTTTCTATTTCTAGAGGCTTTTTCCACTAACCAAATGTGTGTCAGTGTGAACACTGTGCAGAGACAGTGCAATCCGCTGCGGCAGAGCTCCTCCAGGGAGACAGCTTAATCAGCCCCAGGGTGAGCTCTTAAATAAGGGAGGTGACAGACAGTAGAAAAGAAGCAAAGATGTGAAATCTTTGAGAAGCGGAATGTGACTCTACCTTCTGGAGGGGAGCAATTCTATTACACACTGTAAGGCGTAAATAGAAAGCAGTTCTGTTACAGGTTGTGAGCCGTAAGTAGACCATCCATCCTGACTTCCCTTGCTGTACTGAGCAGTTAGACATCAAACTCACATGGACACGCTGAAGTACGGAACAAAAAAAAAAAAAAAACAAAAAACCAACCCAACTATAATGAAGCACCGGGGCACTGACAGAACCTCTCCAGCACAGATCAGTGCTAAGACCGCCATCCAGCCTCCTGAGAAATATGTTTTGTGCACTAGTTTGCTTGGGTTTTACCCCAAACCCTGTTGTTTCAGGCATGAATTAGCGAGGCAGTGTTTGCACTGTGAATAAGCGTAACGTGGCCTCCATCTTTGCAATTCTGTTTTTAAACATGTTTTAGAACTGACTACAGGTATCGGCGTGGGCACTAAAGCATCTTTACTTGTGGCAGCCTACGTATCTCATTTTGAGAAGGGCCAAAAGCTGCAGCTAAGGCACCGGGTGATGCAAAATGAAGATACTCCAGCTCTGGCTGTAATCAGCACGCTGTCAAGTTGTATCAGCCTTTAGAAGCAGAGGGGAGGAGAAAATAGAAAATTGAGTGCGGGCGAGCTGAACAGGGAAGCCAGTGCGGGGATTGACCTCTGCGTGTTTGTTCTTCCTTGGCAGGTTGATGACGCCTGGGAGTGAAATTCGGTTTGTCCATAAGCACATGGGCCTGGTGCCGGGCTGGGGAGGAGCTGCCCGGCTGGTGCAGATCGTGGGCGGCAGGGCTGCCCTCCGGCTGCTGAGCGGGGCTGCCAGGGTGGACCCCGACAGCGCTCTGCGCCTCAGGCTCTCGGAGGAGACTTTGTCGTCTTCAGATGAAACCGGAGCATTAGAAGAAGCCCGAGCCTGGCTGGGTCAGTACACAGAGGGTCCAGCCAGTGTGGTTCGGGCTGCAAAAAAGGTGGTGACAGCGGGAAGAGAGCTACCCATGGAAGCTGCCCTAAGGGCAGAGAAGGACGTTTTCGGAACTGTATGGGGTGGACCTGCCAATTTGCAGGCATTGGTTAGAAGACCAAAACATAAATGAAGGTCGATGCATAAGAAATCTTCTTGACCTTTTTGCAAACAAAGCTTTCACTAAAGCAGGCATTAAACTGAATCATTTAAGGACTTGTTCATTTAAACTGGCATTAACATTCCTGTTGCTCACGTCAGGCAGACATATTTGGTGTGCAACCACAGAGAAATCCCCGGCAGATTCTTTCCTGTCCTAATCACCCACTGAATGGAGATTAGTGAAATTAGTATGTAAAGGTAAATACTGTGCTGAGAATAGAACTATAATTCTTTTGGAATGAGGCTGAAGATTATTTTCTTTGGAGTTAATTTTGGTTTTCTAACTGGTATGGAAATTAATTGCTTGAAAGATAGGAGGTTTATTTATTTGCAGAACAGTTGCATCTAGAGCTGCAAACTATGAGTTCCCCAACATGAGACCAGTGTCTTCAAGCAGCTTTGAAGGGATGATAACTGGTGAGATCATATTTTTTATTTTTTCATCTTCAGTCAGTTCTTTGTGTAATTGCTGAGAAAGTATCCAAGGTTACTTCAATTTTCATGGTGATTTTTACAGGAGAAGCTCTAACTTACTGAGGAGCTTATAGCCCTCATTCACTGACACCGATTCAGGTCTCTAAATACATGTATGCATCTTCTCACTGCTCAAGGAACCAACTACCTACATTCGCACCTGCACATTCCCATAGCCTGGACCTGTGCATGTGCGAACCTGCTGACCTGATTTTTCACACAGGATCTAGCCGAAATCTTGGAAGGCCATGACGTGTCATGCCCCCAGGTGGGATGTTCTTGACTGACTGGGTGGTCTTAGTACTTCAGCGTTCTGGAAAGACTTGTGTGTGTGGATCTCTCTTCGTCTGTCTGCATTTGGAACTCGGTCTCCATGCTGGTGACTGTGCAAGTGATAGGTAATTCAGGGGTGAGGGTTTTCCCTTTAGAAATTAGCAACGATAGAGTCCCTGCTTTGGCAGATGATTCTCAAAATGAAACATCTGTGGGAACAAAAACATGCAGGCATATCCGTGACTTGCGAGTGGGTGCTCTGCTTCGCTGGGGCTGTTTTACTCCATGGCTGTCACAGCAGGGAGTGTGTATAGCCTGAAGCAACCAAAAGAAATGCTGAAGAAAGGGATGCATTGAGAGCTGGCACCCCAGGGAGGATAAGGAATTTCCTCTGCCCCGTGGATCCTGCCTGTTTGCCCTCACACCAGAAGCTGCTGCTGGAAGAAAATTTCAAATCTCTCTTCCCCAAAAATAAAGTTCAATTTTTATTTCCAGGTTAGAGAAGAGACAGGAATGGGAACATGGGCAGAGAGCAGTGATCTGGTTTGGCCCTCTTTCCCCCACGCCCCCACCCTTTTTTATCCAATAGCTCAGGCATTAGTCCCTGGTGCAGCTGGATTCTTTCCTGTGCTCTAAAGAACTTCAAACCCACGACTTCTGAAGTACGGGTGTTTTCATACACTCAGGCAGTACTTGACTCTTTAGCAATGAAGCTGTTCTGCTTTTTGTGAAGTTCCTCAAGATTCGTGAGAGATTCCAGACTTGCCAACATCACCGACCCTTCAGAGCACACTCCAGCCCATACTCATCCAGCTTTTTGAAGCAATAGCATGTCACATTGTCATGAGTCAAAAAAATAGTGCTCTAAAGGGCCACAGGTTATGTCTTTGCTAGTTACAAGACTTGCCATTACTAATACTGTGATTAAGTTTATAAAATGGGTATGAAAATCACTTAGAACCTGAGCAAGACCCCTGAATTTTATTATTTATTTTTTTTTACTATTATTATTATTTTTCAGGTACCAGGCTGTGAGGCTCATTAGTGTCTCCTGTGCACTGGGCAATATAAATTCAAAAGGGAGGAAATTGTAGCAGAAAAGCAGAACCTGTCTTACTTGGGCATTTTGAACTCGCCCTGTGCTGCCAGTAAGCAAAACACAGCACGTAGGCCTGCTGGGGACCTCCTTCCATCTTCATTTGAAGACAAGGAGCTTGCTTCTCATTTCAAGCAAATGCATTTCCCCAGCCATCCTCTCCGATTTGTATCAAAGGCCAAGGTTGGCTTCCAAGAACAGGACAAATAATTAACTAGTACTGAGTGAGACACTTTCAGAAAGGGCTACAGAAATTCATTTTGCCCTCTGGTCTGCTGGAATCACAAATATACCAAACGTAGTGACAGGAGATTCAGAAGATAATTACAGGTGTTTGTTTTGATCAAGGATTTTGTGAGCAGCCCAATACCATAGCCTCTGGTTTCTTTCCTGTTCTAAAAGCAAGTATGGCCCTTCACAGGAAAACCAGACTAACTAAATTACCATGAGTGCTAGCACAAGAGCTCCAGACTGAGGGAGATGACATGGAAACCCATTTTACCTGTTTCAGACCTAAATGCTGTATTTCACACAATACTTGCTTATCATCTTAAAGTGACAGATACCAGCTGCTGGTTACAGGTAAGCATTTACATTTTCTTTACAATTACTGAAGACCACGAGCTTCATCACTGTTTTTATTCCCCTTTAGAAATGGCCTAAAACCAAACAAGCACTAAATCCACAAAATAAATTAGAAACCTCAACATTGATATTCCCAGTCTCCTAATTAAAAGGCATGCTAGCTTTTTTATTTCTTAAGGGCTAGTTTGCCAACTCCCGCCTTGGCAAACTAGGTTTCCCATTACATTGTGAAAGGCCTGTCTTGTTCCCTTGCCTCCGTGTACTGGGACAGCCTGAGTGCTTAATGGGCTGTGGATTCCACATCAAGCATTTAAGGTTGGATACCGGAGATCACTTTTAGCAATATCGATACTTTATTGTATTTGCTGCTGGCAGAAATACACTTACCAAATGGGCAGTCTAGGTAAGCTGGGTGTCCGTGCTGAATGCTTGGTTCACTATGTGATTATTTATTTTTTTTTTATTTTTTACCGTGACATTGGGTTCCTGTATCTGTGGCTACCTGTTCTGGAAAGAAGTGATGCAGTAGATTTTGTAGTATTTTTATTTCCTTTTTCCTTCCCATTCTGCTCCACTGTGCATTTCTCTAGCTACGCTGCACAAACTGAAAAATCACTTAATGTATGGAGCTACAGAAAACCACGTATGCAGTGTGACTGTGGCGTAGCCAGCATTGACAGAGACGACATCTCCTACTGAGGGTAAAGGTTTAAATCTAAGATAGGAATTACCAGTTACTACTTTTCCCTGGCTTGATCTGGGGAGTGCATTCGCCACTCCAATGATCGGCTGTTAAGCTCTCACCGGCCTCACTTTAACTGATTTTAGTACTTCACAGCTGCACAGTAGCTGGTTTTGGCTCCTGCTGGAAGTAGCTACAGCAGGGGTGTTTGACTGAACAGAGGCCTGCCTCTCTACTTTGGTCAAGAACCCCCAGGGATCATCACTGGTAAAACTATTTGTAGAAAGTTTGGGCTGAAAATCCGGAAATTAGGTATACAGCAAGTCAAGTTCTTGTATTTCTTGCTTTTTTCAACAGTACACACCCTCCCATGAAGTAACGTGTGCACACAGCAGAAGCGTTCCTACTCAAGGTTTTTGCAGCACATCAGACCTTGGTTAGTGCCAACTCAAAACAGAAATAAGACAGCTGGCAACTAACAAATAGAAGAAAAAACATTCCATCCTCTTTCCTTCTGAAGTCCATGTTACTGGCTGATTTCCTTCAGAACTGGAAGGTGACTGTAAAAATCTGTGATCAGGAGTACCTGCTCCCAGCTGAGAAAGAAGGAACTCCTCTTCCTTATTCCCAATGCATCTCCTCTGCACTTTCCTTTGTTCACTGACCCACTGATCTCACCTGTGGGTGAAGGAAACAAACTGGAGGGCTGGCACAGCTGAGCCAAAGATTAGACATGTCAGCCATCACTACAGTAAGGAGAACATTTTAGAAATTCAAATCTACCATTTTTAAAAGGGCTGACTTTTAATTCCCTTCAACTGGTTGCAACTTTTGTCTGAAGGTGTACAGTCCCTACATATCAGCTACTCTTCCTTCTATTCAGGGATTGGGGTACTAAGAATCAGTTTAATTAGCTTTATTTAAAAGATTGCATCCAGAATCAACTACTGGTGTTTCTCAACTTGGAAAAATGTAAAACTACTGCCATTAACAGAAAAGACAAGCTCTGCTTTTTAAGATCTGGCTTCTCTTCTAACCTTCCCTAATAGACGGAAGTCAGCTTGTAGCCGTCTAGGAGAAGCATTCCTAGCATAAGCACCGAACTAGCTGTTCTAGGCTGCCACTCACTTTGCTATGAAGAACAGATAAATAGCAATATAGTCCTTAACATCCATGTTGTTACAGGCTCAAGTTTGCTCTTTTATTTCAACATTTCTGCTGTTAAAGTAAGGCTGTGTGCTACTTCTGCCTGCCGTAACAGCAAAGCAAGTCGATCAGCCCCTCGGATAAGAAGCAAGTGTTAAGCTCGCACGAATGTTAAAGCTGCAACTCATGTTTTTTTCAGTAGAAAGACATACTCCTACAGTGTTGTGTTTGAGAGACAGCCAGCCAGGGATGCAAGAACTTCAATATACCACTCTGAGCCAGTCCTCCCTTTCAGCAAACACAGGAAGCTGTTTTATGATCGTCGTCTTTAAAGTTCCTCCAGTGAAGTTCAATTAAACTGGAGACATATCTAAGATTGTTACTGATAAAGTGTAGTTTTATTAAATTATAAATTCCGTAACAAAAACAAGACAGATCAAAAAGACCTCAAAAACAAAACTACAAGGACTAGATGGCAAAGCCAGTGAAAATGCTGTGAAGAGTGTATAGGTAAGAATTTGCAACAAAAGTTAACAGCATTTTTACATTTCCATTAAAGGAAGGTAAATGATTGCTCGTCTAGTAAAAACACATTTTAACTCCAAACTCACATCTATTTTCTCACATTAAATTAAGCATCCTGCTCACACCCAACATCTCGCCTGCTTTAGTGTTCTTTTCATACATCAATCCATGCAGAAAGTAGTAAGACACTTAATGCAACAGTCAGATAATGAAGACAATTCAAGTTGTACAATAGATATACATTGGCCAAAAAGGGATCGAGTATCTCCAAGGGGAAAATGCTACAAAATAAACACAAGACATTTTCAAGAAAACTGGGTATTGCTAAGCAGCTTTCAAACCATTAACAGGACAACCCAGTTTCCTACAGTTAAGAGTCTTCCAGCTGAGACATGTTAAGAGACTTAAGTTAAACAGGCCAAATCTGTTCCCCCCCTTCACCCCACCCTCCCACCAAACACACCGCTAGGTTTGAGTGCAATGCCAATGTGGACAAGAAATTTACAGAGCGAGGACTGAGTTTTTAATCGCATGGCTCTAGATTTAAACTTCAGTGACCGTGCACTGTCCATCTGGCCTTCTAGATCTTACACTTGTGTTCACCCCCCCGCCCCCTGCCACTGGTCTATCCGCTCCTGTCTGGCTTGCGTTTGCGTTCGAGTGTCTCTGCTGGACAGAGGACAGGCGTTGCTGAAGGTGGGCAGATGCATCCTCGCTATCGCTGCTAGCATCCGACTCTGTCTCCTCAACAGAGGTGTCAGGGGCTGGCACCCTACCCGAAGAGGATGATTCGTGGTCTTCTTCTCCCTCTCCCCTGTGACTCCTTTCAGCCATATTGTCTCCATTTATTTGCAAGTGGGCAAAAGAGTTTTCTAGAGAACTGCTTGCATCAGGTGATGGCGTTGAAGGACTCATCAGCTGACCATCCAGTGATGGCAGGGGCCTAGCAGAAATGGATGCTAGAGGCTGGACAGCTGCAGCCCCCGGGGTCGGAGTGCTGTCTGCACCATCAGCGGAGCTCTCTCTTGCCAGGTTGACAGTGTTCGCATCACAGTCCAACCTCAGCCCAGCCACTCCTTTCTTTGGTATATCTATTATGTCCCGTTTTATTTTTCTGCGGCGTCCGTGCTCGTTTCTCCTGTACTGAACCATATTTTCAAGATCTGCTACGTATAAAAACCCAGCGATTAGCATTTCAGTGCTCTTTTTACCCTTGGAAAAGGCATCTTCCAGCTCTCTGCTGGTACGTTCATCATACTGCCACCAACCATTTCTACCTTCATAGTACCAGGCGTATTCTCCATTGCCTCTGCTTGCTGCTTTGAGTTCTTCTGGCGACAATAAGGTTGGCTTGTCAAGGAAATCCTCTGGAATCTCCTGCCGGCAGAGTGCACACCGTTTCCCAAGCCAAGAAGCTCCCTTCACACACAGATAGCAGAAAACGTGTTTACAAGGCAGACTTACTGGATGGACACATGTTTGCAGACAGATAGCACATTCGGGGACTGTCAGGGAAGGTGCCGCGTTAGCACACGACTCATTTGTCTTCCTGTTTGTGGGAAGCATGTTGATTGAATGATCTATTTCGCCACAGCCAGCCATCCTGCAGAGGATCAGAGACAGATTTAAATCAGTTTATTGTGTCAGTCTAAACTGGCACCTTATATCACCTTTGACCTCATCATCCACAGAATAAGATGCTTACCTTAAATTAAGGTAAGTTATCATTTATGAAGCTCAGCTCAAAGAAACTGACAGGTTAACATTCTGTAGCCTGAGCTGACAGCCTAAATAGAGTACTGGGAAAATTTCTTTACCTGCCACATATTCATGCCAAGGCAGAAAACAAATTTGGGAATTTTCTCTGTTCTTCCTCTGAAATAGTGTTGATTAATGAACCTCCAGTCAGCCAATTACTTTGAAGCCTCCTCAGGAAATTTAAAGCAGCTACAATTCTTTCCTCAAGAGGTGATCTGGCTGCAAACATTGAACTTAAAACAATCTTTCTTCACAGTACTGGTGATCATCCATTTGATTAAGGGATTACCTGAACTGTACCTCAGACCAGGCTTCCACAGTAGGAAATATGGCTGGCAGCAGCACCCCGCAGTATTCCCCCTCCTGTTCCTTAGTCCCTGTGCACCATGGTATACCATCCCTCAAACTGGGCTCAGAACAACCACAGGGCGGCAGAAAGAACCAGATTTGAAAAACGAGGTGGCTTTTTCAAAAGATACCCTGGGTTCCTCTTTCCTAAACATCAGGTGAACTCCCTGATACAGCTAAGTGCATCTCAGAAGGAATCGCTGCATCCCAGCAGAAGGAGCAGTATATCACAGAAGACACGCAACCGTGATTTGATTGGTTTGTGAAGTCATTGCCTCTACCTTCTCTGGCCATCTCTTATTTCTGTCATTAAAGTTGACTTCGTAACCAACTGTAAGAGAGCAGGGAATGGAAAACTGCATCACTTTGACATTGTGTAGGATTTCAGCAGTCGAAAAATTCTAGCCTAAATATGCAAATGTCTTCTCAACTACATTTTTGCCATGGCAATCTTTCACAGTCTGTTTCACAGTAATTTTCCTTTTATGTTCTTATTTATTAGCCATCAAACCCAAACACCAGATATCAAATGAAGGAGAAGAATGGGCTTTGGGGGATGGGGCCTAAAAAGGTGCCTTTTTTCATTTAAATCTCCAAGACACTTTTGAGGCAAAACAGCCTTTCAGTGAAAATAGTCTTTGTTGTACAAGCAGCTACGAATAGTTCATGCAAACCCATCACAGGCATGTGAGCCAAAAGGGACCTTAGAGGTCATGTAGTCCAGTCTCCTACTCCACATGGCACTACCACCAATACTAGATCAGATCAGCTGTGGCTTTGTCTAGCTGAGTTTTTTTGAAACCTACAAGGACGGAGAAGCCACAGCATCCCTGGATGGCCTTTTCTAGTGTTGTACACGTTCCTAGCAGAATGTGTTACCTCAAGAGAAAAAGCCTAGTGTCACTGTAAAAGCCTCCACTGCTTTAAACATCTTACGAATACATGCTGGGATTAAAAAGACTTTTTTTCCTCTGTATCTGTATTTATCTTTACAACAATGCATTAAGTACTATTTACTTAAAAATGTATTTCTGTATGCTGTCTGTTCCCTTCTATCACTATAATTTCCTCTTGGAAGACCCAATGCCTCTTTAATCCATTTTTTATCAAATCATTCTTTTAAAAGCTCTACAGCTCAAATATTTTTTCCTGAAGTAGCACATAATTTTATCCACCTATGTTTCAGTTTCATATCTGGATTTCTTTCTCTGAGATTAAAGACAAATCTCCATACTAGTTCTTCAAATCAGCATGCCGGATACAGACACAGCATTACCTACCACCTGGGAACTGTCTTCTTACTGTACAGTACACCTCTATCTGCAAGATCCGTGCTAACAACGTTGTGAACAAGTTGCTTTCCAGCAGCCTCACACTTTTGACGTTATATTTCGCAACATAATTTTACACCAAAACTAGGGGTATATAATGAGAAACTTATCAGTAAAAGGGGGGAAGAAAAGCTATTGAGATTTCAGAATACCTACAATCACAACCCAACCGGTATCTCAAAACAGAAGAGCTGAAAGATAAATTCATATATTGATTAATTTGCGCTAACCACGGCTGAGGTAAAGGATCTGAATTTTCAAGTGCTCCTGTAATGAGATAGCACTGTGCAAAATGGCACAGCAGCAGAGATTTTTACTTCCACGCTACAGTTTACAAAAGTCTGCTTCTCCCTGAACATGCTTTATACGGTTTATCCTTTTGAGAGTCAAAGAAAAGATTAAAACAACCTGTAGATAAGTAACTTCTATACAAGTCACGTATCGTAATTAAGATTTTGGAGGGGATTAAAATGCAATGCTGGGATTAAAAATGCAATGCATTTTGACAAATCAAATTCTGATACCATAAGCTAACTTATTAGTAAACTAAAAGCAGAGTGAAAGTTCTCACCTGTTCACTGTAAGCACAAAAATGCTAACTGCGCTCAAGGGGTCACCCATTAATTTGAGGGTTCTTTGATTCCTTACTAGGTCACGCCAATAATGCAGGATATGAAAAGAAAGGAGTAAATGCCTTATCTTGAAATTACTATGTGATTTTTAATGACTCAGAGGAAAACATTACATGTAAAATGAATACAGCTGGAAGAGTAAACCCTTATCTCTCAGCAAATGCTACCCAGCAACATAAAACTCTTAAAAGATAAGCACAACTGCAGTTGCATGTGCTCAGAATGCAGGACAATTACGCACTTGAAGATTCATATCAACTGAACTGATACTGTCTCACTTTTTGTTTTTAAAGGAAGATCCTACTTAATCCTTTTTTGTTTACCTTTTTAAGTACCAAATCTAGGTCTTACAGTTTGTTTATAAGCTGGTATGAGGTCGTACATGTAGATTTGTATTGAAGAGGTAATCCTTCAGAAAGCAGGAAAACCATCTAGGACCGCTATCCTGCTATGTTACGGCTACGGAAGCACTTTCATTCCAACTTCATGGTATTGAGAACTAAACAAAACTGACCACAGAATATTCTTCCTGAAATTAAGAGTAGTATTTTATAACAAGTTTTAATCAAAACAGGCTTCCTATTAGAACTGTTATCAAAGAGTAAAACTCTGGGTTTTGGAGCGTTACGTTCCCTTAGGTCACTTCTGGCAACAGGGAAAATTACACTATTGGATAGTGAGACTAAAAGTTAATCAAACTAAAGGATAAGTTCTAAAAATAATTTTATTTGAAATATTTAGATCCTCAATTCAGGTACAAGTACGGGAACAATAAGCATCTGAACACTGCATTTTAACATAAATACAGCCTAAAACCAACTGAGAAGGAGCTAGTCCACAATCTTGCCAGATCCTACCTCTCTATTATCCTTTTGTGGGGGGTGGTTTTTTTTTTTATTTTTAACATTAAAACATGTATTTCATTTGTAAGCTTAGGGTGCACAGCCTAGAGCGCCTTCATCAACACACAAAGTATGGAAGAGGTGATGTATAAAAACTGTATGAAAAGACCCCAGGCCTTCTAGGACTCTACGGGAAGAAAAAGTAAAGTCCCATAAAACCACCTCAACACAGTCATTTCTCAAACTCCAGGCCGAATTCTAACTGCAACTAAAGAGTCTGTCAAGGAGCTGTCACGTAGAAGTCCATTAACAAAACAACAGCTTACTTTTTCTGAATAATTTCTACTGAAGCATGCCACAAGACTAAAACGTCCTCTCTTCAGACGTCTCCAGCTAGGATGGCAGGTCCTCTTTCCCAAGGCTGGTTCATTCCTCACTTGTCCTGCCCAACGGTACACTACAGTATTTCAGCTTCTCTGCAAACTAATGGAAAGCAAATAATATCACCATTACAAAGTTGTCTAGAGGTACAAGCAAGCAAAATACAGTACCATGGCCCTGCCACAGAAATTACTATGCTTTCATTTACCTGATGCAGGCTATTTTCAATAAAAGTATCATCAGACTTCTATTTTATTTTTTGCAATGATCAATTTAGGCCCACAGTTTTTATGTCAATTATTTTGATGTCTGACTTAAGCAAACTATCTTTTTCTGAAGCATTATAAAAGGCAATTATCTTTAACTGTAATAAGGTAATGGCTCATTTTGATAAAGTGACCATGGACACAAAAGGAGAAACAAGACCGGAGTTAGGAGCATGTTACGTTTATGCAAATTTAACCTCTAATAAATGACTTCTTATATTCAGAGTTTAGAAAGTCACAATGCCTTTCCAAGCCTGTTTATAAAACTATCCATATCACACTGTTCCACAGGACTATCTAGGCTTATATGTTGTCTCTTAAACAGGGGCTGATGTCAGATGCTTGAGGAGAAAACAGCGCATGCAAACAGCTGGTTTCGCACTAGGTCCTCTCCATTTTTCAAGCAGTCTGTAGCTCAGAGCCTTGCATCCTTGTCCTCCTCCTTTCTCCTTAGAGATCACATGGATTCATTTCATGAACGAACCTCAGAACTTCAGCACTTTTTTTTCTTTATAAATCTATGTACACGTCCTCATACAACCTTATAAACAAAATCTATGACCTAGATTCGATACTTAACAAGGTAAACAAAAGAAGGATTAATTAGGATCTTCCTTTATTTCTTTATAAAGTGCTGAAGGGCTCTGAGGTTCATACATGGAATGAATGCGTGCAATCTCTGAAAAAGAGGAAGACGCAACTGAGCCTCCACACCTTTGAGGCAATATACCCCTCCCCAGGCTAGCAGGTAATGTCAGTCACAATATATTTTGCATATGTCACCAACCGGAATCTGAGCTAAATCATTTCATAAGGACATAATGAACACTGGAAACCAGTAAGTGGCTAACAAATAACTAAGTAACTCTACAGTAGGCAAGTAGGAATCTGCAAACTCAGAGAGGGCAGAGGGACCATCAAGATTTCACTGTCACATTCTCACACCCTAACCAGGAAGGTCTTTCTTCACCTAAAAGAACCATCTTTAATTCCAGAAAGTATTTGGGAATCCTCTGTAAAAAGACTGATGAGCCACAAGAGTTGTATCTTCCTTCTCGGCTGTAGCTTTCAACATGATTGTTAAGCATACTGAGCTACAATTTCCAGTTGCTGCAAAGCGTTACATATACGAGCAATATGAAGCAGACCCAAGAACATCACATCTTGTATTTCAATCTCCTCAAGGAAAGAATCATTTCAGTACAAATACAGTGGCGATGAGACATATACAGAGTCGAGCAAAGTTAGGGAGTGGTTAGGTCCCTGAAAGAACATGAAGCATTTAGTGTGGGAACAAGTACAGAATCTGCAGGTGTGGTGGCCGAGCCAGACACCGGAGATATCCTTGGCCTTGTTGGTCGCAAGCCATGGGATAACTGAACAAGAGCTAAGTGAAAAAAAAGGTCAATACCATGACTAATGAACCTTGCAAGATGAACTTTGTTTTCATATAAGGCTTGGACTCAGTGCCTGCCCAGTAGCTAGGTGATAAGAGAAAAGCAGAGGCTTCGTTTTGGGATGGGTATAAAAGGATGTAAAAGCGTTAAATAAAGTGATCCCGATGCTGCTTGCGCTGGTGCATGAACTCTGGGTCCGCACCTTCATTGCCACAATTTAGTATTATAGTATTCTGTGCTGCAGTCCTTCATCAGATGAGCGAACATTTATCGTTAATAACATCAGAGTGAAATGTTCAGATGACTTCAGCATAAGACACGTTACTCAACTGTGTTATTTTCTTTATAGCTGAGCTCCATGTAACATTCCACGCAGCTATTTTCAGAAAGAGCTCCAAAGGAAAAATGCAAAAATTAACAAGCCTATCCACACCTTTTCTCCCTCGTCATTCTAGCAGCTTCCCCTTTCTTCACACATCAATCCGAAACCAAGAGCTGCAATCGCATTAAAATTTTGGCTCTCCTAATCCACTCAGCCAAGATACTGTGCTTGCTATGATCAAGGGGACAGTTGCAACAAGCCTGATGCTGTGGGTGTGGTGCTCAGGCCTTCATCTTAGGAGCTGGCTTTCTGTTACTTCTGTAGGTATCACCTGAAGCCTTTGATCCACTACCTCTTGCAATCCACTACCTCTCACAATCCACTGTTAGAGAGGTAGCCTGTCATAAACCCAAATGTTATGCGGAGATGGGAGAAAAAGGTTGGGTCACATTTCTTACGAAATAAAAATGCATGCACATATTCAAGATATGTAATTATACCTCGAAGAATCCACTTATGGCATAATTATAGGATTATGGTAAGGCAACTTTCTAATTGCTGCATAGCTCTTAAAAAGAACTAGTTCACAAACTGACTTCAGGTAACCTCTACATTTCATGACACGGTTATTTATTTAATAAGCCAGTCTTGAAAATTTTACTGAATGGGATAAAAGACACTTGTGTTTATACACACACACCCTTTCCCGGGCAACAACTCCTCCTTTAGTAAGAGCTGCGTTCTAGACTTAGCAATTCATTTTCTATGCTAGAAAAGCACGTAGTATGAGGAGTTACGCTATCTGCAGCAACCTGCGAGTATCCCTTCCTTCTGCACACTCAATAAACCCATGCATCCTATCACACACCGATTTTGAAACTTTCTTCAAGATGCAACAGAGGAAGGACAATCCCACTGATCAGCAGCAAGAATTTGGGATCCCCCTCCAAGCTGAGGCTCAGCCAGCATTTAACTGCTCTTTGTCCCCTTGAAAAGTCTCTCACAGGATGCCTGCTGGGAGAAGTCACATCTGCTTCTTCCACGCAACTTTAAGATGTTGAAGTGGTGGACTTCCTACCAGACCGACCTCTTCAAAATGATTTCAGGTTCTCCTTAAGAAAAATTTCAAGCTTTTACTAGACTAAGATGGAATGAAATAATTTCTTGTTAGTTCAGTCAGCTGTGCCCACTGGATTCCCAGTAAACTATCAGACCCAACACAATTTTTTCCACTTTTCTATCTTTGGGAAAAAACAACAACAATAAAAAAATCCCAGAAATTTACACATTTAAAAGGCAGCTCCTAAGCGTCAATGAAGTGTTACCTACAGTCTTAAAAAGTCTTTTCTGTAGGTAAAAACTTAGCTTTTTAAAAACAAGCCAAGCTTAAACCACTGGTAAATTCAGCTAACGCCAGCTTCTAACCAAAAGAGCCAAAGACTATTATCTGAGCCCTACTTCAAACGACACACGATCTCACAAATTCTGCAACTCCGTACAGATGACCCCAAAGTAGCTATCGCCAATTCATCATTCCACACACACCCCAAAGTTGAAAACTCAACAGCTACAGCATTACTTCGAAAGCACAAATGTTCTTTTCCCATCAAGCTCCCTAGCTCATCACTCAGTTACTGGGGGGCAGGAAGGGAAAAAGAACCCCGGATTTCCACCCTTCCCTACAAGTCACCACAAGATACGCGCAGTGGGAAGAAAGAAGGAAGGTGGCTGGTTTTTTAAACAGGAAAAATCATTCTCCTGTCTGAAGGTCTGCTACTGTCAACATAGGATCAGCTCAAGGTACTGAGCCTATAGGGCATTTCTTAAACTGTCCCTGGGCACTGGATAGCACAACAGCTAAATAACCGTGCTGTTTCCTGTTCTCACCTACTTCTCTGTATCTGTTTCTTAAACTTAGAATACCTTCAGCAACTGATGATTGTGACGAGGCTGCAGGTTGCCTGTCATTCCTTATCCTTTGCTATTACACATTAATAAAAAAAAAAACAACCCTTACGTGTACATTTGGAACTGATTCACATAGTCAAGTGCAGAACAGTCAACCATTTTGGTATTGAACTGCTATGTATTTTTCAAAATGAGGTTCTTCTCCTATGCTACTGTTGGATCACTGAGTTTGAATTTTGAGCATATACCCTATTTCAATTTATTTAACAGAGCAAAATATTAGTTTCTCACTCAAATAAAATGATATTGTGTGGAAAAGAAAGGAGGCACAGGCTCATCTGAAGTTATCAACGCTTCAGAAACAGGACGTACAAGAACATCTCTTCATATATATATCTATATACACACACACACTTGATGAACATGCACGGAAGAGAGAAAGAAAAAAAAAAAATCCATTTCAACAAAAAGGCTTTTCCCCCACCAATTCCAGGAGTCTGCTGTTCAATAGACTTTAAAAATACTGCAGTTTCAGCTCTGCAAATAAACAACAATTCAATTACATCCAAATTGCTGCAGTATACTTTGAAGGAAACAAGAAGAACAGAACTTTTTCTTTCACTCAGTACAGATTCTGCATTATAGCAATTTAAACAATTGGTACTTTGATTCACTTGCAAAGAAACCACAGCATTAACCACACAGGACTATAAAGCAAGGTCTTGCAAACATTCAATATTTAAGATTTACTCAGAATGACCAAATCAATATTGAGATTTCACTGTGTCGTCAATACTATTACAAAGTGTAATTTTTGGCAGTGCATTTTTAGAGATGCTTTAGGAGCTATTTATAAGTAGCCCGCTGCCCGGAGGCAGCAGCTAACAAAGCAGCAGGACCGTATTTTTAGCATTACAAATCTGACAAAAGCAAAACGTTGTAAAGCTCTGCTCCCTTTGTAATTATTCAATGCCTACTTGCATACTATACCCCCAGTAACGAAACCTACGGTATTTCTGGTTCGTATCACAGGGAAGCTATACTAAGATTTAAAATCCCCACACTTTTATTTGGCTTTGACCATTTCACCGTTCTGATTACCTTGCTTGCAGGAAAAACTCATACTGACTAAATATTTTGCACTAATTTCTCAGCAGCGGCAACACGCGCTGCATCAAAAGCCGGCCCTATTTTCACGTCCCGTTTTAA